CCCCAAAACCCCAAAACCCCAAAACCCCAAAACCCCAAAACCCCAAAACCCCAAAACCCCGTCAAGGGCTTATCTTATTGGTTTCATAATTTCACTATAACTTTAGCTTACGGCTAATTTAATCTTTCTCATCTTTTTCACTCCTCTCTTCGGCCTACTGCTATGGGTTAGGAAGAAGGGCTACCTCGAAGCCTTACAAAACTTTGTATCGAGACTGTGGTTCCTATAGGTTCGGATTAATAGCTTACTGAGTGAATGATATACTTCTGTTCCGGTCTCTCCTACTCTTTCGTAAGTTCTTGATAGGAGATGGCAATAACGCTCCTACGTCGCTCTGGTTCAATACTAGGCGACATTTTTCAGGTCCTTTACGAGTTGAGTGTAGAACTGAGGTGTTTAGGTAGTTGCCGATTCTAACTCTATATATCAAGTATGATCCAAGGAGCAGTCATAAATCTAAGCGACTGTAAGTTATTGTATGAGCTATTTTCTGCTTAAAAAACAGGTTTTTAAAACTTAAGCACAAACTTACTCTCTTGATTGCAGTGATCTTCTGCCATACTTCTGTTTCCAGTCTACAGTTAGCCCAATTCCTACCTTTAGCCTGCTGAATTAGCTTTTGCATCTTGGTTGCTTGACTATCGTTTAGTTTATTTTATCCCGTGAGAGACATAATTGATCATCATTTTCTTATCTAAAGGATCATATTGGTCAGCCATATTAGTTAAGCTATCAGCTGAAGGAAAGTAAGTACCTTGAACAATCCTCTTCTGGTCTCTGCTATCAAATGTATTGAAAATTTTTGTGTCAATTTCTTCCCTTTGGGGATTTTCCTTCAACATCTCTTTTGGGTCACTCTTCATTTTATATTTTGTTCCTAAATCAAAGGTTATTAATGGGTTCATCTCAGAAGTTGATGTCTGTTTAAAGGGAAAAGCAACAAAATAGAGGGATCAAGAAGTTTTAATGAGACTAAAACCTTACCTTGCTTCCGATAGGATGTATTCGCTAAGTACTGAGTATTATTATCCTTAACATCCTCTACGAAGGAATACATCCTCTTCAAGTGATCGATACCTTTAAAGTTAGCTTTCCTTTTATAAAGATGCTTCATCGGGCTCTCAGACGATGGGTTTAAGTCTCTAGTTTTGTTCATAGATCCGCTTTTCTGAAAGTTATGGAAGAATCTCACTTCGCTTTCGGAATCAACTGAGTTGGATATGACAGCTACAGTTGATCCGAGGATATTGGTAGGCTTCTTATTTTCTCTTTCTGGATTCTTTACTTCTAACTAAATTCGGGTAATATAAAATTTACTTTAAATGAGCTCTCCAATCTCAGATTTTTTGAGGATAATCTGACAGGAGAATCTCATCCAAATTTGTCTAAAGATTAGTTTAAATGTACCCTCATTGACTGACGGGAGTCTGAAATCATTGAGAATAAACTTAGAATCAGCATTAGGCAAAAAGTCTTTATTTCCTTTTCATTAATGGTGAATCCAGACCTGAGTTAAATTGAACTGAAAATAAACACAAAACGATTACTTTTAAAGCTGTGAAGTCCTGAAGACTTCCTATTATGAGCTATAAAAATTAGATGCTCAAAGGATAAGTCTTACTAGCAAACTTAGCCCTTCTTTTCTTAACCTTGTTCTCTTCTTCTCTCCTTAGTTCTTCCTCCTTCAATCGTTCCTAAAACGCTCAATTCCAGCCATTCCATAACTTTTTGCTCAGTGACTTACTTCTTCAGCTTTTTTTTCTTCTAAAATGGTAACCTAATTGCACTCACCTCTGAGGTGGAATATATATTCGCTTATCTTAGTCCAGTTCAGGGTCTGATCTTTCTCTATAACCTAGTTATAACCAGTCTGGCTCCCAGTCCAGAAAAGGCCAAGAGAGTAGCACGCATGAAGGATTTAGGGTTAAGCAATGACCTTGGGGCTAGACTGGACTGTAGAGTCTTTAGAAGGAGTAGATGAAGAGGTTGGAGTAATATTTCAAGCAGCTTAAAGCTGAAAATTCCTCAAAATCGAATTTTTACAACTTGTTAAGTGGTAATTGAGAAGCACATTCTTGGAGAAGTGGGGTTGGCAACTGGGGAATAGTGACCGTAATGGAAGGAATAGCTCAAAAATGGTTAAGCGAATTGGGAAAATTGATAGAAAAGTGAATTGAATTATAGAAATATTCAAAGATTTTGGAATTGGAAAGCCCGATTCTGTTTCGAATTAAAATAGTCATGAAACCGACTGGTTAAATGAAAAGCAGTTGATTTCTATCAGGAACATAGTCAACAAGATCCAAATCTGTGGGTAAGCAATGATTTAATGAGCAGGATATCTAAAAAACTTAAGAGTTTAAGTAAGAACCAAGCTCAATGAAGCGGCTAACAATCCTTTTAACAGAAGCTTTAAAATCTTTTGGTTCAGCTGATTTTTTATTCGTCTAGTATTAACCTTTTAATTGGGTTATATTTCCCAAAATAATTTTAGTAACCCCTGATATCAGGGTTTTCGAAACTTAATTTAAATTGAGTAAGAGCTCAAATATTTCAGGATTTTAGCAAAGAGCTCACCCTCAGAAGCTGAGAGTCTGACTAGAAATATTTCTCAATTTTCTCATATTTCAAATCAATAATTTTCGATTTTATTTAAAAAGTTCTATACGATAAAAATTCCTAAAAAATGAGGTTTATTCCAAAACCCAAGATTAAAAAAGTTGTACAGTCCAGGGATACCCTATAAACACATCAGAAAATCATCTCAATCATCCTCAATGAGTCAGGAGGGCCACTAAGACCCCCGTTTCCTTAGAGTTTTTACACTTCTCAACATAACCCCCTATCAAGAAGCCACCATAAGCATAATCCAGATGTCTTCTCCCTGACACCTCTGAACTCCCTTACCTTTTCAGTCCTGTGTGTCTCCTCCAAACATCATACCCTTAGGGCATGGAAGTGGATTCTTATGATAGGCGTCATAAAAATAGCTAACTTTCTCTTTCATCATCTCTATAAAAGCTCAGTTATCCTCTCCAGCTGCTCCAAAACCCCAAAGTTTGGCCTAAACTGACTTCCTTAGAGACGGGAGGTGAAATTTTCGATTTTTACTGCAGAATTTTGAGCAAATTCTGATTTTCAAGTGGAGAAAATGGGAAGTGACTGGACTGGATAAGGGCAAATAGAAATTTTAGGTGGTGAGAAGAGGGAAAGATAGGCATAATTTTTTTGTTATTTTTAGGATTTTGAATAGATTAAGAATTTTAGGAATGCTCTGTGTTTAGGTAATACTGGTAATTTTCTTGAATTATTAAGTTGATAGAGGTTTTTGAATGTAATGCTATTTTTAAGCGAAGATCACCAAATTGTAAACCTATTTTTGGATTAGTAAAAACAAAATTTGATAGTTTTAATATTGAATAGTTTACAGGAAAATTGTCCCAGTTTCTTAATCGGAGCTTTTTATAAATTGAAATCCTAAAATTCAGACTTTCATAAGATGTATATAAAGCTCGAGTTTGCTAAACTGGTTGCAATTAATGCTAAATTATTAACTAAAACCCAGGAATTGGAAGGAATGAAAAGGGATTTCACCTTCCAAATTGCAGGTTGCTCGTTGAACTGTTGATATAAATGCTTTCTTCAATAACTCTTGTAGCTAGCATAATGCAATGATCTATGCATCTTGACTAAGAAAGTCGATAATAGTATAAATTTGGATACACAGCTTAAGGATAAGAAAATCTCGGATCAAACACACATTCCACTATTTTTAAAGGCCCAGAATAGCCTCTATTAGCTCAACTTCAAAACTAGCCATAATCTGAATGAGATAGGGACAAATGTGAAAGTATTTCCCTATCTTATAATAATGCTCTGAAGGGATCTTCCCAAATCATAAGTCTGAAACTAAAACTCGCATTGATCTTAATTCGAACTAATCTCTCTTAGTAGATTCAAACTAAGGCTGCTTACTTCTCTCAAATAATCTTCCTCTTTTAGACATATTAAGTATTGATTTACAATAAATTTTCCGGAGCAGGGGTTTTGGGGTTTTGGGGTTTTGGGGG